AATGCTTGCTAACTAAAACCAAAACTTAAAAATTAAAAACTATAATCATATTAAACAAAACGTTTCTGCAGGCGGATTTTCAATTAGCAACTTAAAAATACCAGTTCTCACTAGGCCCGCTCTTAACTGAATTGTGCTTGGAGCTCTTCATTGTGGGTAAGGCAGTAACTGGGTTTAATTAAATTTCGGCCCATCAATGAAAATACGAACTGAACTGACCCTTTCACCCTCACCATTTGTTTTAATTTACAACCTTCCCCTCCACTTCTCTGCTTCTTCCATCCTCTAGAACCAACATCAAATTCGCGCTTCTTCTTCCCGGAAGTAAGCCGTGAACATAGAAAGGTGACTCTTTCATCTCTTTGGATGGAAGATTCTGCTAAATTCTCCGGCGGTTTCTCCGACAGCGACGACGAAGAACCTCAAGGAAGCAGCCTTTTCGTGCTACTAAAACCCTACTGCTTAGAGCTTCTGGAGGTTTTACAAAACCCTAACAAGCACTCCTCTGCCATCCCTGCATTGCTTGAATTGCTTCGCAGTTCTCCGCCCGATGCTCTTCAGCCCTTCTTCGAGTAAGTGCAATGAAATTTTGCTTCTTTTCCTTTCATTTCCTCTTTGCTTTGATTTTGATTCTCTTTATGATGTTTGGACTTATTCTGTTTTGGTTCATGTGTGATTCAGCTACACCTTGTTCCCTTTGCTGCTTCTACTGGATGCAGCAGTTGAATGTAGAAAGTCGCAGAAAAATGTTTCTACAGAGGAACTTCTTGGGCCACATAAAGTGAGTGATAGAGTAGCTGAAGGTGCGCTTCAGTGTTTGGAGGAGCTTCTGAAGAAGTGTCATATAGGATCTGGGGAACAGGTGCCTTCTCGTTTGTAACATTGTTTAGTTTAAATTTTGTGCTGTTTTATCTTGGTAGTTTTAAGCACCGGTCTGGCTATTCTCTGATGAGGAAAATAATTTCAGGAAGCAATTAGGTATCTTTGAGAACAATTATGGATTCGTCATGTTATCTTCTTAAGCTAGTTGATTATGATTAATTTTTTATGATAAGTAATGCTTAACCATAACTGAAAAGAGTCTGTAACTATTTGTGGAAATCAACCTGATCATTTGAGATTTATTTGGCTTATGTATTCATCCGCTCATTCATCTTTTTAACGTTTTTGTGTTAAGCTCTCACGTTTATATCACCATGTAGAAGGTGATGTTAATGACCTGAAATATGATGTCATGTTGTCACAGATGGTCATGGTGTTGAAGAAGCTAACTTACGCAGCTTTACTTTCTCCATCTGAGGCTGCAGAAGAGTTTCGTGAAGGAGTGATAAAGTGTTTTAGGGCTCTGCTTTCCAATATACTTCCCTGTTCAAACAAGTCCTGCTCATGTAAGGAAATTCATGATTTGCCTATGCTCTTAGAAAGTAGAGATCTGCAAACTACTCCAACTGGGCCTTCTAAGCATGATTCAGAACAGGGAGAATGTTTACATGCATTTTTGCGGTCCCAAGCTGCTTCTGCTGCTGTTGGACACTGGCTGTCACTTCTTCTCAAAGTATGCCTG